CCTGCCCCGCGGGGCTCCTCTGGTCACCCGGGAGCGGGGCTGCCCTCCCTCGAGGACAGCCACCCCCACCAGGTGCACCTCTGCGGGGTTTTGTTTTTTGTTTTTGGTAAGGTGTCGGGGACATTCTCACCCTCAGAGCCTAATCTTAAGTGGGAGTCTTAATTTTTTTCCCAGTATAATTTGTTAGCCTTTGGGGAAAACCAAATTCGGAATATTGTGTCAGGCCGCTGGTGCCAAGCGTTTGTGTGCTGTGGCCCCAGGGTCCTTCCTGTGGGTAGACAAATGTTCTTGTCCTGGGAGTGTGGCGTTTTGTGATTTGCACGCTGCCTTCGTTTTCACCTGTCTCGCTCCTTCGTGGAAGCAGATTTTCAGTGAGCTGCTTTGGGATCTGACAGATGGTTTTTCTAGGAAATTAAGAATGGCTGAGGCAAGGGATTTCCCATTGCCATTTCCGGTTTCAGGTGAACATATCTGGGTCACCCTTATACAGATGATCGCTCCCTTGTGTGGAATTGTCTGTAGGCGGTCCACCTCGGTTTACTGGTGAACCCTCAAGAGGTGTCCCAGATAGAGGGGAAAAAAAAACAAAAACGGAGAAAGGAGCTACCAAAGGGCTGAGCTCCTTTTCCCAGGAACAGTGTAGCTTCTCACTGACCAAAGCTGGAATCCGGATCCTACCAGATGCTGGTGGAGGTACCCAGGGAATTTTCTGAATGACCTGTTTCCCAGTGTCCTCCTCTCCTGGGACCCCTGCTTGTCGCCTGTGGTAAACGGGTATATAAAGGATCCTTGTACCAAGCTACGCAGAAAGCTGGCATAGCCTGGTGATACCAAATGCCTTCTATTTTGAAACAAAATAGCTTTCCTGCATGACTAGTTCCAGGTTCTCACCGATTCTGTTTTGGGGGTTTTTGTTGTTGTTTTGGTGGTTGGTTGGTTGGTTGGTTTTGGTGGGGGGCTTTGAGTCAGATCTTACTGTGTGGCTCAGACTGGCCTTGAACTCACGCTGTAGCCCAGGCTGGCCGGCCCATGATCCTCCTGACTCAGCCTCCTGAGTGCTGGAATTATAGGTGTGCACCACCACGCCGGGCTTTTGCCTGTGCCGGTCCCCCAAGCAGTACATTGTTCCTGTGGCTGCCCTGCACTGCTCTGCTCCAGCTCCCTGCTCTTCCTTGGCTGACGTTGGCCTTGCCAGCCAGGCATGTCCGCCACCCCACCTCCTAAACACACACCTTGTCTCTGCCCAGCTCTTCCTGGTGGTGTCAGCCACCCACACCTGGGGACGCTGAGGAGCCCTCTGCTGGGTGTTGGGCTTCCTCTTTCGGTCCTTGGCGGTGTTAGACTGTGGCTTCCTTCCACCCTGTCCACTGTATGCCCCAGTAAGTTGAGAATATGCATTTAGATCTTTTCCTCTTTGATAGCCTGTGGGGCCAAGTCTCTTTCTCTGGTGCTTAGACGCTCAGGGGAGTAAATAGACCACATGGGCATTGGGGTGCTGAGGTTGTTATGCCGGATTTCACACCTGGACATTTCTTGGGGTGAGGGGGATGTGGAACAGCTGTGGACTACTTGTATATACCAACTTCTTCTTAGGGTTCTTTTGTTTCATTTTTGTGGTGCTGAGAGCTGAATCCAGGGCCTTCACACTCAGCCAAACCTTCCCCCCATTATTTATTTATATTTTTGCAACACGATCTCACTAAAATCCCAGGTTGGGTTTGAATTTGAGATCCTCCTGCCTCAGCCTTCCATCACAGGTGTGTACCACCACACCCATCCATCTCTTTGTTTTCCTTAATGCTTTTTTTCCCTCACCTGATCTTTTGATAGAACATTTCCAGTTTCCTGGGCTAGTTGAAGGGGACTGACTTGCTGAGTAGACCATTCAAGCCAAGAAGTGGGTTTTCCAAATACTGTGTGCCAGGTGGGGCCTGCGATTTGCATTCGGTTAGCACCGGGCAGCAGGCTACAACGAGTAGTTCAGCAGCGTTGCACCTCCCCCCACCCAGCTAATTCTGTGCGATTGGCCGAAGCTGGCTTTCTTGCCTCTCTATCTGTGTGTTGGTGTCCAGCAGGACCAGGCCTGTGTAGCCCCTGTTTACCGTGTGCTCTGGGCTGAGGTGGGGGCTGTGTCCCTCATTCACTGATTGTTGGCTTTGCTTTCAGATTCTTCACTGTGATGATAATGTAAGATGGACCCGGAAGAGCAGGAGCTGCTGAGTGACTACAGATACAGAAGCTACTCTTCAGGGATTGAAAAGGCTTTAAGAAACTTTGAGTCCTCTAGCGAATGGGCAGACCTCATATCTTCACTAGGCAAACTCAACAAGGTATGTGGGGTGTATACTTTCTGGAGCTGGGGACACAGTTTTCTTATTAGTGCGAGACATTCGTGATGATTTTTGTTTTGTTTTGTTTTGTTTGAGACAGGGTCTCGCTATGTAGTTGAGACTGACCTGGAACTCACTGTGTAGCCCGCTGGTCTTGTTACTTTCTGGAGCTGGGGACACAGTTTTCTTATTAGTGCGAGACATTCGTGATGATTTTTGTTTTGTTTTGTTTTGTTTGAGACAGGGTCTCGCTATGTAGTTGAGACTGACCTGGAACTCACTGTGTAGCCCAGGCTGGTCTTGAACTTGCAGCGATCCTCCTGCCTCAGCCGCCCGAGTGCTGGCATTCTAGGCATGTGCCACTATGCCCGGTCGTGATGATTTTAACAAATACAAAATACAGGCTATAGGGTTTGCTATAGCTAAATCTTGGAAACAGCCCAAATGCCCATCAACTGCTGAATGGATAAAATTTTTTTTATATAATGGAGTACTACTCTGCCATAAAAAGGATAAGCTTGAGATATTTATAGCTAAATAGACGCATCTTGAGACCATATTCGAGTGAAATTAATTGGACACGCATGTTTAAACACTGCATTGTTTCTCTGGTGTAAGAAACCGAAAGTGGAAATAAGGACCAAAATGTATAACAGATATTCGGAAATAGCAAGAAAATGTTCAAATGAGAAGGGGAACAAGAGAGGGGGTGGGGGGAGAAAAGTGAAAATAGAAGGAAACAATGGAAACAAAGCTTCTGCAGGAAAGGAAGGGAAGGGGGTCAAAGGGGGTGGAAAAGAAAAGAAGCCAAGATCTCTCACGTACAAATACAAATTCCCTAGGATGAATGTCATCATCATGTTTATCTAAATGTACCCATGAACGTTTTGCTTTTCTTTTTTTTTAAAAAAAAAAAAAAAAGGAAAATATAGGCCAGGTGTGTTGGAACACACCTGTAATCTCAGCCCTCAGGAGGTCGAGGAGGAGGATTGCTGTGAGTTCAAGGCCAACCTGGCTGCGTAGTGAATTTGAGAGCCTGAACAGGCTTTGCCTGTTCAGCTCCAGCCCAAGAATTCTCAGGCTGAGGTGGCCTTCCCTGGCTTGCTGCGGGCACAGCTAGGTGATGTCAGGTCCCCCCGCCACCCCGTTTCCTCAGGTTAGGGTTTGGAGCCTAAAAGCTGCACACTTTTTTGTGCGAGAGGGGACGGTGTTCATTTTCTGTCTTTTCTTTTTCCACTGTAGGCGGCACATCTTTAGGATATGTAGGAGTTACGTTCATCTGGAGGGCTGGTCCGTATGGCGTACATAGCACATCTCCATCTTTCTTTTTTGAGACAGGGTCTTGCTCTGTAGTCAGGCTGGCCTCAACCTCACGGCAGTTCCTGCCTCGGTCTCCTGGGTGCTGAATTACAGGTGTGTGCCACCGTAACACCATTTTTTTTTTTTTTTTTTTT